TGTACTGTCTCCTTCACTCCACCACCAAAAAAGGTGAGAACTGACATGAAAGGGTCAGGGACATGGGGACAAAGTGGGCCATGGTGCTGAGTGTGGAGCTTTAGAGAGAAGCAGAGAAGAAACACTTTTATTTTCAAATGATGTGCTTTTTTGTGTGTGTGTGTGGGGGTGTGTGTGAGAGTGTGTGTGTGTACGTGTGTGTACGTGTGTGTGTTTCTTTTCCTCTCTACTGGACCTTCCTTTATTTATTTATTTATTTATTTTTAATCTTCTCCAAAGCATGTTTTTTTGCTGGAGAGAGAGAGAGAGAGAAACTCCAACTGGGGATGGAGCCTGCAATCCTTTGGCATACAGGATGATGTTCTGACTGACTAAGCAACCCAGCTAAGCTTGGACCTCTATTTTATTTGAGGCTTCTGCCCACTCTGAGAACTCCAGCCCCAGAGCAGTGGAGACATTAGAGCTTGGAAGGAGGCCCAACTCCCAAGCCCTTTGAAGCCAAACAGGAACAGGAAGGTACCCAGGCATGTGGTCTCTAAGGGGAGAGCTTCCCATCTCAAACATGGACCCATCTACTTCTCAGGAAGGAGAATCACACTGTGATTGGGGCCTAGCTCTCTCACTTGGAAAAGTGGTAAGGAATTTTTCAAGTGTGTCATTTTTGAGGAGACTCTGGGGACCCTTGAGCTGTCCTCAGGAAAGCCACTGAAAGCAGACTCAAAAGTTCAGAGATCTAGCCTGGCCAGGCGTGGCACAGTGTTTGAGCATCCACCTATGAACCAGAGTTCATGGTTCGATTCCTGGTCAGGGCATCGATCCCCAGTGTGGGGGGCATGTGAAGGAGGTGGCCCATCAATGATTCTACCTCACTAATATTTTTCTCTATCTCCCTTCCTCTCTGAAACCAATAAAAGTATTTTTTTTAAAAGTTCAGAGATCTCAACCCTGGTCACTGGGTATGGCTACTACACCTGTACTTTTATTTTCTGAAAGTTGTATAGCTGAACCAAATATTAAAAAGAACAGGCCGCCCTCGCCAGTTCGGTTCAATGGAGTGTTGTCCCATTGATTAAAGGGAAGGATTCCAGGTTCAATTGATCCCCGGCCCTGGAGGGAACCAATTGATGAGTGTGTGTATGTGTGTCTCTCTCTCATCGATATTATCTCTCTGTCTCTCCCCTTCTCTTCCACTCTTTCTAAAAATTAATGGAAAAATATCCTTGGGTGAGGATCAACAACAACAAAAAATATTTGTTAAGTGAACAAATGACTGACATTAAACCCTTGAAAAATATAAGGTTTAAATTTATATACTACAGTAATAAAAAACCAACATTCATTGTCAACAAAGAGATTTTATTAAGTGTTTCTGTTATCGTTCTGAATAATAAGTTCATTAACTGCCTCATTAAAATACTTTTAAAAGTGCCTTGCTACCAGCTAAGGTTTCTTCGATGATCCTTGAACTTGCCTGGCTCAACTTGCTGGAGGAAACAGATCTTTGGACAGGAGATTTGGGTTTGCTCCAGGTTCTGCTGTTTATGAGCAACTCGCTTTTAACTCTGAGCTTGTTTCCTCTGCTGGGTAGCAGGACTGATAACACCCACCCTAACTACTTTGCAAGAGCACTGTAAAAATCAGGAGATGACAGATACGAAAGCAGGATCTGAACTGCAAAGTGCAGCCCACACTGAAAGTCTGGGTAGAATGACCCTTATCTCCTGCTGTGGCTCACATCACCCCTCCCACCTGCAGTCTTGTCAGCCAAATCCCCATCATCCAAATCTCCCCATAGTTCAAGGTCTAGCTTCTGAGTAACTCTCCACCAGAACCGGAACTGGATCCTTCCCTTCCAACTCTGCTTTTGCCTGCTGCCTGCTGCCGTAATGGTTCACAACTGTCATTTAATTCTCCGTCACACAGAAAGGTAGCACAGTGGGGTGCTTGGAGCTCAGGCGGACCTGCAGGGGATGGAGGCTATAGCATTTGCTGGTTGAAACCTCTTGCACCTACTTAGCATCTCTAAGTCTCATCTACAAAACCCGGATGACAATGACTCTTACAGATTTGCTCTAAGAGGAAATGACATTATTCCCATAAAGCACTCAACTCAAGGCTGCGCATACAGTAAGTGCTCAAACAACTGTAGGTGTTATGACTACTGAATCTTGTTCTTTCACTGTGTCCTGAATTTGTCTAATCTTCCCAACTGAATTTTTATCCTTGAGAACAGGGACCCTGTCCTATCCATTAATTTGGTTACCCCCCAAACCCACTTCTTTTTCAGAAAAGTGCTCAGTTCATAGTTTTTCCCTACAAACACCTGTTGAATTGAGTAAAGTGGATTAAGTTGTTTTCTAAGCAGTGTTCAAACCTTACAATAGTCCATCACAACAAAGTCAACGTGCTCAGGATAAAGTAACTTACTCATGCTAGCCCTATTGTCACACTAAAATGTGTGATACCCATAGCACACAGCCCAGCAATTCCCACTACTCAGCTGTCCTCCCATGTTGGACACCCTACATAGTCAACAGCCCAGAAATATTGCAGAGAAATAGATTTCCTGTGGGGACCTCTGAAAAATTCTGGAGCACTCTCTTTTCCCAAGACATGACCTTTAATCTTTTAAGTGTAGATAGCATCATGGGTGACACACGTGTGAACACAGAAAATGCTGAACAGCAACCTGAAGGCCATGTTTTAGGGCTGCAATAAGGGTGAAACAGTTCTTCTGGTGTTTTGCTAACAAACTTCCTTGAATGTCATAAACCCCCCACCGATCTCTATACCGTGTAATATTATGGATAGATTCTGGTGACTTACCAAACAAACATGATTTAACTCTATGTTTTCAGAAGAGTAATTATAAACTATAAAAAAAAAGTCCATTTTATAGCAACGTCAACAAAATTCTTAATTTTATTTGCTATCCACAACTATTCCCAACTGCCCTAGAAATTATGCTTGCTTTTCCACTTAAAAAACTGACCTGGAGGTAAAATAAAAATGTTCTTTAGGAACCATATCAATTCTTGCCCAGATTGAATGAAAAATTGAAAAGTAACCCAGGCACACTTTCATGCTGTTCTGTCTTTCGTCTCCTGATGTCTGAGGGCTTCCTGCCCAATCTGGAAAGCTTATCCCATCCCTGGTCTGTCGCTGGAGTTCTCTCAGCTTCCTAGACTCAAGGTAGGAAAAATGAAAACAGCAATTACTCCCCCTTCAAGAGTGTACATTACTGAATTTTGAGCACTAGTATCTTCTTGTTCTTCATCCTCCACTCTCTCACACCCAGAATTAACCTACTGTAAAGTTTCCTTACTATTTTCCAAGTACACAGCAGACTGGGGGGGGAGGGGGGGGAGGGAGGAGAGCCTGCTTCACTGGAGCATACTAAACCCGTCATGCTGCTCCATTTTCACGATAAATGTAAATGTTTTACTAATAGGCAAATTCTTTATTTCAAATGGATAAATCGGGTGGTATCGAGATATAATATTCCAACCAATCAAGTTTAGGAAAACGAAAATACAGAATTCCATACTATTAAGTTTAAGAAACTGGCAAGAGTACAATTCCAGAATATTCTCTTTCTGGGTCATAGCATTTCACTTGACTATTAACCTTTTGGTTTTTAGTTCTCTTAAGAGTACACAGGTGCCGAGAGCAATGCTGGCTCAGTAATATTCTCCCTCTCGATGGAAAGATCCATGTGCCTTCAATGACCACTCGTGTAAGAAATGCTATGTCCCTCCTATTTCACCTCTATTAAGTGTCTGTTCGATTTCTCCATCCTTTGTTACTAACCCTTTTTCTTCCTCAAAGCAAAAAAGAGAGATCCTGGTGACAGACCACTACGCCACCTGGCTTTCACACTGTTTTAATTCGTAGTACTACTCACCCGAGTTCTGAGCAGCAATTTGCTTCCTTAAACTCCGTCAACTCTCCCCCGTTCTGACCTTTGCTTTTAATCACTCAAGCCCACACTTTCCCCCATTCTCTGCTTCCTTACTGTGCAGCATCCAGTCCTCCCCCTACCAGCGGCTGTGAGGCATCCAGGATGGGCAAGGTCACAGCCAAATGCCACCATTTACTCTCCACTCTGATGTTATGGCTCCTTCACTCCTAGAGGCAAAATCCTAATTTGGGGCTCCAGGTCTGCAGATAAGGAACTGCACAAGCCAGGTACCCAAAGCTGCAAACGGAAAGAGTGGCAACATTTTGGGCTACCTACTCATTCATCATGCAGCCACACTTGTCAAAAGGGCTCAGAGGTGCTGCTTGTGCTCTCTGTCCCTGAGCTGAGCCAGGGATGAGGGCAGTGAAAGCAAAGCAGGGCCAGTCTCTGACCCCAAACGTTGTCATGAAAAGAACGCAAAGCCAGGAAAATGAGGAGCTGCGCAATGATAACTCGCACTATCAAGAGGGGGTTAGGCAGCCAATCACACTTTTATTTTCCTTGCGCTCTCTGACTATAGATTTAATTTAATTTTGTCATGGCAGGATTAGCAACCAGGACACAAAGGCAAAGGGACACAATAATAAGACAGCATATTAATCCTCTATCCCACCCAAGGCAGAAGCAAAACCAAACAAATAGCGGCTTCCTGGAAATTGAATTTCTGTTATCCAGATGTCAAAGATGTAATACCCCAATTACACAAACTATTGCCAGTGAAGCGTGCCAGCGAATATGCAATGTAAATGGGGTGAGCACAGAGCGACAAAACTGCACCGTCAGCATCTGGCTCTGCGAGTGAGTGATAATTAGCACTGTGTGCAGACACTAATAAACATTTATGTCTGAAATTACAACTTTTACCCATGTTAATAAGGGATATATTGGCAATCTGTGAAATAAAAGGTCTTGAAAAGAATGTCATACATTAAGCAATGACAGACGTTTCCCATTCGGGCACAACCCCTTTCTTTCCCCCCCTGCTAATTGGAAATGGCCGCCTTGTTTTACTGCGGAATTTACTGATTTAAGAACCTACCTAAGAAAATGGACTGTGTCTCTTTGGCCTCCCCGTTGACATCACTGTTGAATTCTGACATCTTATACACCTCATGGTGGTAATCTGGGATGAGAAAACAACCAAAAATTAGAATTCTAATGACCTACACAATATGAACAAACAATATAGACTAGAATCTCATTCTACATATAGTATGGGTAATCTATACTTTTATTTTACAAGTATAATTTTCCTGAACTCGGTCCATCACAGAATTTGTAGTTACTAATAATCATCTAAAAATTTTGCTTACTCTGAAGTACACAAAGTTGAAATATTACTTTGACTTCAGAAAACAGCTTCGCTTGACCACACGGTTTTCAGAGTAAATGTGGCCCACAGATGCCAATTACGAGACTTCTTTTCTTTCAAATGACAAGGGTGTTTATAGGGAAAAGAAAACCATGCCCACGCATAGGCCAGGGGAGGGTTCCAAATTGATCTCCACAACCCATTTTCATGAGCATGTGAATAGCAGTATGCTTTAATTCCGTGGTACTCTCCGTTTACCCAGAAAAATCCCCACCTTTAAGCAGCTTAGCGGCAATCACACTGGGAAAATACTGACGTGTTATTTCAAATATAGTATAATTGGAATAAGAAAGCAAGATTTACATCTTTCACACAAGTGAGTCTTCTGCATTCAGCTACTGTGCTTTAATATGCAATAGTTTATTTTCTAAAAAGCACCTGCAGAGAAAAGAATCAGACCCATAATTTAAGGGGAAAAGGAAAGAAAAAAAAAAAAAAAAGGAAGAAAAACTTGCTATGTCAGTCAACTTTAAAATACAATTTTTACAGGTTTCTTTATAGAGGCTACTGTTCTTTCACGATCCATTTCTAAAAAAGTAGGATCAACTAGGTAAGCAAAGAGCTGTTCCTTCTTAACAGCTATTTTCATGGCCTTGAACCTCACAGGACAAGGTCTACAGAGGTACTCTCACTTTTAAGATAAAGTAGTAAGTTCCCTGAGGTCATAAATAAGTAGGCAGCCTACATTCCTGAATGAATCAGACAAATAGGCCAATTATACATGGAGAGATTTTTAAAGTACAAATGACTGAGCAATCAGCACTGCTAGGAGAAAAATGTACACAGAAAGAGGACAGAGCCAAATATTTTGAATTCATAAAACTATTTCAGACCTCTTTCATTAAGACGTGTCAAACTAAAGCAGGGGAAACAGATACAACTAGATCTTCAAAATCTGCAAGAAAACCATTTTCAGATCAACTGAAAGCAAGCTTTATTGCCTTTATTACATGATAGTTAGGTTAGCTTGCAATTGCCCTCTAATTTTCACCAGCTTATCCGTGACTCCCCCAGATTGTAAAAACAATTGCCTTGCTCTCTACTCTGATACCAAAGTTAGACAGAGCAACCCAGGAAAAAAGGATAGGTTCTGTGGTCTGGTTTTGGCCTCAAGTTGATTCAAAGATATTTAAACCGAGTGGTTGTAAACTCAGTATTAGGACTTGTGACATTGCCATAAAAAAAAAAAAAAAAAAAAGGCACCTGCCTCTCATTTAAAGAGACACGATGCATTTCCATAGACATGTTTTACATCTGTTCTTAAGTTCTGACCATTTTTTTTTTTTTAAAAAGGTCAAATCAGGAAAATAAAGACTCTAACAAGTAACAGAACACACTGTTCAGTGATGACAGGATTCAACTTTCCCCTCCTCTGATACAATCAGCCCCAGCCCAGACACTGCGGTGCACACCTGTTAAATCATCAGGAACTGACTGTTGTTTTTTTTTCTTTTAAAAAAATGATACTTATCTGACTGATAGGTGATCTATCCTAAGATATCTTTGCAACTCCAATAACGTCCCTAGAAACGGCTTCGGAAATGGACCATTCTTATAAGGGTTTGTACGGCACATGAGCTTCTTTCTCGTTCTTAAAAAGAATCACCTCCACCCTCTTCCTTTCTCTTTGGGGGTGAAAATCCCAAACCAATAACCCAAGCCCACGATCCCCAGTCGGATGGGGTCCGCACGGCCCGGGGAGAGGCGGTTCGCCCCCGGCCCCCGCCCGGCCACGGGAGCGGAATACCAAAGAGGGCTCCGGCTCCCCAAGTGTCATTGTTTGCTAATTTCCTCAGTGGCCTCCGACTTGTTTACCTGGAACCACCGCCGCCCGCCGCCCCCGGACAACTTTGCCCGCCCCCGGGTGCGGGCCGCGGAGGGAGCGGAGGGAGCGGGGCCGGGGGCCGGGGGCCGGGGCGGGGGCGGGGAGCGGGGGCGGGCCGCGCGGGGCTGCGGACGCGGCGCCACGTCCGGCCGCGGCGCTCACCTCGGCTGGGCAGTTTGAAGCTCTGGGATTTCCTGCTCCGCTTCCTCTCCGAGAACTCCATGGCGCGGCGGCCGGCGGCGGGTCACCGCGGCGGGGGCGCCGGGACCAAGGTCCGGCCCCGGCTCCGCGGGGGAGGCCGGCGCGGGGAAGAGCCGCCTGGGGCCGCGGCGCGCGGGGCTCGGCGGGAAGCGCTTTCCCGGCAGAAGTTGCCCCTCCCGGCCGCCGCCCGGGCCCCGCCGCACGCCCCCGGCCCCGGCGCCCTTCCCGGCTCCCTTCCCGGCCCCGGGGGAACGCGGCCGGAGCCCAACTTTCCGCGGGGAGCGCGCCGGGGCGGGGGCGGCGGGCGCCCCGGGTGTCGCCGCGGGCCGGCCTGGGCGCAGCTCGGGGCGCGGCGGGGGCGGCGGCGGCGAGCGCGGCCCCGGGGACGCGGCGGGCGGGCCGGAGGCGGCGGCGGCGGCGGCGGCGGCGGGTGCGAGCCGGGTCGGGGCGCTGACCGCCCCCGCGGGAGGAGGGGCGCCGGGAGGGGGCGGCGCCGCGGGGACCCCGGGGCCACCTGCTGGCGGAGCGCGGCCGCGGCCATCCCCGGGCCCGGCCGCCGCCTCCCGCCCACCTGGCCGCGCGCGCCCCGCGGAGGAGCCGGAGGCCGCGGCTTCCTCGGCCCGGCCCCGCCGGCACCCGGGGCCCGAGCCCGCGCGGGTGGGGAGGGGCGCGGGGAGCCCCGGCGCTGGGCTCGCCGGCCTGTGGCTGCCGCTCCCGGGGGTGGATCTGGTTATAAACAGTCCTGGGTGTCGGGGACCCTCCTGGCCGGCCCCTCCGCCTGCAGATCCAGGATGACCAAGGGTGAGACTCGCTGGTTTTAGGCAAGTTTTAGGGAAAAACAGGTACCGGAAACTTACCCATCTGCGCTCTGCAAGGAAACGAAGAGATTTTAGAATTGATTGGTGAGAAGAGTGTAGAAGGAGTGAGCTTCAATTCTTTACCCCAATGCAAAGAGGGATGTGGGAAGATTCAGAGTTACATTCAAGAAGAGAACTTGGAGCGGGTGGAAGGGTCAGGTGCAAAGTGTGTGGGTACATGATCGCCCTACTGTCTCTTAGGGAAGAGACCGGCAAGGCAGGTGCATGGGACGCTGCCACTTGATAGGATAGTGCCACAGTCATTGACATAAACAGAATGCTTTGGCAGTTTTATATAATATTCTTTTCTGGGGGGCTAATAGCTTTAAGGTGGGGATGGGAAAGAATTTCACACCACCTGGGAATGGCAGAATGGGATACAACAAGCCAAAGTGATCATTAGCCGAAACCGGTTTGGCCCAGTAGATAGAGGGTCGGCCTGCTGACTGAAAGGTCCCAGGTTCGATTCCCGTCAAGGGCATGTACCTTGGTTGCAGGCACATCCCCAGTATGGGTTGTGCAGGAGGCAGCTGATCGATGTTTCTCTCTGATGTTTCTAACTCTCTCTAGTCTCTCTTCTTCTCTGTAAAAAAAAAAAAAAAAAAAAAAAAAAAAAAAAAAAAAAAAAAAAAAAAAAAAAAAAAAAAATCAATAAAATATATTTTCAAAAAACAAACAAAGTGATCATTAAAAGTACCCGGCCAAACTGATCATGTCTAGACCCAAATACAGAGAGTGAAGAAACGGACAACAAACACATCCACCACTGTGGCAAATTCAGGTGGTCCCCAAAGAGTAAAGAGGAATAAGGGGAAAGGGTATGTTGATAAATGTGGTAGATACTACTGTGAGTCTCGCTGAAATGAGACAGCCACTCAGGGTCCATGTTGGTGAGTAGGACAACTGGGAGAAAGGGGAAGTTGAAGGCAACTAGCCAAACATACACAAACTGGGAAACAAAACTAAGGAACTAGGTAGCCAACCAAGGAGCAGAAGCAGGGCGTGGTATGCATCCTGAAGTCTTAGGTGCTATGCTGCTAGGTGCTGGAAGAGCTGTTCTTTCAGTTCCTTAAAGCAAACCCTTAAACAGGAGGTTTTAAAAATATATTTTATTGATTTTTTATGAGAGGAAGGGAGAGGGATAGAGAACTAGAAACATCAATGAGAAACATTGACCAGCTGCCTCCTGCACACCACCTACTGGTGATATGCCCGCAACCAAGGTACATCCTTGACCGGAATCGAACCTGGGACCTTTCAATCCGCAGGTCGCAGGCCGATGCTCTATCCACTGAGCCAAACTGGTTTTGGTTAATTTTTTTTTTTTAAAGAGGGAAAGAAAGGAGGGAGGGAGAGTGAAAGAGAGAAGAGAGAGAGAGAAAAGAGAGAAAGCATTGATCTTTGGTTCCATTTACTTATGCATTCCTTGGTTGATTCTTCTATGTGCCCTGACTGGGGATGGAACCCAAAAACCTTGATGTATCAGGATGACACTCTAACTAAGCTATCTGACCAGGGCCTGCAAACTTGAATTTGTCAGTGTAGTAGTATCCTAAGGCTTCCATAACAAATTACCACAAACTTGGTGGTTTAAAACAATAGAAATGTATTCTCTCACAGTTCTAGAAGTCAGAGATCACTGTCACTGGGCCAAAATCAAGGTGGTAGCAGAACTGCTATCTCCAGAGGCTCTGGAGAAGAATTCGTTCCTTGCCTCTTTCTATGCCTTGCTTCACTTAACTTCTGGAGGCTGCAGGCATTCCTTGGCTTGTGGCCACATCACTCCAATCTCTGCCTCTTTCTTCACAATACCTCTCCTCTATGCGAGTGAAGTCTCCCTGTGCCTCTCTCGTAAGAACTCTTACAATGGCATTTAGGGCCCACTTGATTATCCAAAATAATCTCTCCATCTCAAGATCCTTAATTCAATCACTTCTACAATGATTATTTTCCTTATAAGGTTATATCACAGGCTCTAAGGATTAGGATGTGGGTGTTTTTGGAGATCCATGTTTAAGTCTTAGTCAGATTGCCTCCAGATTAACTAAATGATTAAGGCAAGATAGTTACATTATAGACAAATTCTGGTTGGGAGTCTGGAAATGAGTGCAACTACTCAGTCAAAAATTTTAATATCTGTGGGTCTCTGTTTCTTTATCTGTAAAAATAATAACATGTCTTATCAATTCTACAAAGTTCTTTCGGTGGAATCCTTCATGTAAAAGTGATTTGAAATATTAAAATTTAGGGTCATGTGATATTACTCCATGCCATACTTGAGAAGAAGAAATTGAGTATCTTACCTAGCTATCAAAGTTCAAATTTTTGCCAATGCATGAAATTCCTAGGTAGGTGAATACTTCCTGTGACATTAGAGGTATCCAGGGCATAGGGGAAGTTAGCCTGGATTTTATCCCAAATGTTTAAGACAGTGTAGCATCGTAGTTTAAAATGTGTCCTCTGGTATCAGACTTCCCGGGTTTGAAACTCAGCATGATTGCTTCCTACTGGCACAATCTTGGGCAATTCAGGGACTGTTATAAATGAGTTACCCTCCCAGCACTATATCCAGGGATGATTAATAGAATTGTTAACTAGTACAAAGGGGGTTAGTGCTAAAGGCGTAAAGGTGTCTAAGGGGTACAGAGTATAGTCTCTACTTTTGTCTGAGGGAGAAGGAATAATAAAGGAACTAAGGACGGCCCACCCCCATCCCAAGGCTGGGATTCAGTCCTTTTCAGAGAAGCTATGGCTACTAGAAGGACCTGTAACGTGCTGGTAGCAAAAGACTTTTAAGAAATGGGGCCAGAGTTGCTCTGCAGAAGCAGTAATCAGTGAGGAGAAGGTGGCCAAAGGTGTAGCTGGGACTCCCCCAAGCTGGCATCTGGGCTCCCACATTAAATAAAGATCTTCGGGGGTCAGAACCTGTAAGGGAGGGTCTTCCTGGGGATGCAGCCCTGCAGTGTCCCTCTGGTGCCCTTTGACAGAGCCTAACATCCTGCCTGCTCCAGAGTACAAAGAGCAAAGAGGGGTGGGTTTGGAGCTGAGAGGCAATATATTGATAACTAACAGTTATTTATTCCCTTATGTTCTTTATGCCCCCTTCGCCCCCCCCCAAAAGTCTAATTTTCCTCATCAGAATGATTATAAAAAGTAAATGTGTTAATGAATGCTTGTAAGTGCCTAGATTGGTGGCTAGCACAGTCAGCTTTTTCAATTGTCTCTTATTTGTTGCCCCTCACAGGCCTGTGTCACAGCTGATCTCGATAAGAAATCAGGTCACTGCCCGCACCCTCATGAAGCGTCATCTTTAGCACCTTTAATTAGATGGTCAGATTTGAAATGCTCCATGGGTTATATTTGAAGGGTCAATACTATCTCAAAACCTACCTTTAGAGATGTAAAGACTTCAATAGTATAACAATTTGGAGGGAAGGTTAGCTCTTTTCATCAAAAATATTTATGATACCTTTCTGTTTGAGTCTTTAATTAGAGAAGTCAGTGCCAAGTAAGTTAATTCCTTCAGTGTGTATTAATTGCCTACTGTGAGTCAGTGTTCTAGGCCCCTGGGATACTGAAGTGAACGAGACAAAACATTTTTGTCCTCATGGAACTTGGATTCTAGGCGGGTAGCTGGGGGAGATAGGCAATAAACAAAATGAATGAAAATATGGTATAAATGATCCATGTATGGAGAAAAAGAAAATTGAGAATGAGGATAAATTTGATTCTTCTTCTTGTCTCACTACTTTAAAAAAGAGCATTTTGTGTGTGTATGTATGTGTATTTTGATGCCAGTTCCATGTGTATTCTTGTGGAAATCAGAAACCCAGGATCCCAGGAAAGCCTGTGATGGGAATGTTTCCTTTTCCACATAGAGATTTGTGTTAAATTTGAGTTAGGTTTTCCTGTTTTAAATCTTCCCTTTACAGTATAAACATGTTCACTTCGTCAGTCAGTTCAGGTTTATGGTACCACGCTGCGCATATTACTCAGGGGGTAATAAAGTTCTTTCCCAAGAGCAGCAGTTTAATACTCTTTTAAGTTCCAGATTGGTGTGATTATGCCTGATGAGCTTTAAAGCCAGTTTTTCCCCCCCACCTGTATGTCTAAATGTCAGCATCTTAAGTCTGAGGCAGGCCTCTGTGTTAAATTCTCTTTTAAATTTGTTTCCTCTTTTAAATGTTCATGGCAATGGCTGATCTTCAACCTATGAAATAAAAGTAGTTTTAAACTAATCTCTTTCATTTAATCCCCCCATTTCACAAACTTTAGAAACAGGCCTGAAAATTATAGGAACCACAATTTTAAAAAGTCTTAGTTTGATA